ACCCTTATGTTGTACAAGAAGAAAATATATTTGTTGACTAATCAAGGTGTTAAGTTCTTTTGTTGTGGTTGAAGTTAATAGTTTGAAAAATGAATTTTTGTTTTACACAGCAGTGAATGCAGTAGCTTTGGAAGTGTTTATATTGTTCTTTAATAYAGCAGCACAAAAGCTGATAGGATGGTTTCTGCAGGGCGCAATTACATTGCAAGTAGAATCTACTAGCTGCTGTTTTGGACATAAGCTTCAGAAAATGGTCTGCAAACTTTGAAATCTATTCCCTGCTAATCCTTTAATTGAATCTAGAGAAACGCTGGTTAGCAAGTTTATAATTGCATCTGATGTTACTATCCTGATTTATAAATAAAAGCAAACTTGTTTGATGTGTTTATCAGAAGGGTCTTCTGTTAGCTCTAACATGTAAGTGGCAATGTGTCTGGGTAATTCTTTGGTAATTGTTTTGTTCAGCTTTCCTTTTAAGGAATATATGGAAATGCTAGTCAGGAATGTAAGAGACTGGACCTTTGTCACTGAGTTTCTCTGTGATTATGGAAACCATGAATCAGCTGCATAGTGAGRAAGATCATAAAATGTTCTTTCCGTGCCCACTCTTGATGCTAAAAAAACCCGCAAACAACGTTTCAGTTGATGGATAAGAATAGATAATAATTTCAAGTGCTGCCCTTTATATTTTTAGGTATGCCAGGAAGCTGAACTTGAAATGAAACATGAAGCTGTAGTACCATGGGAGATAAAATTTTCTTCTTGTTTAATTTGTGCTTGACCAAAACTAATGAAGAATCACCATATTTGTGAATGACAGATTTACAAGCCTCTGAAATGTTCTGTTTAAGTCTCTTCATCCTTTTAATTGTTAGGAGAGCTGGGAATAATGTCCTTTACTAATCAAGCTAGTATTCATTAACTGGCTGATTACACTTKAAATTGATGCTCTCAAATTTAATGCTATCTAGGTTAATATTTTGGTATTCTAGTGCAAGCTTAGTKTGTAGTGTGGCAATRGACAAGATTGATTAGGAAATGATTRTTTTTTCTGCTTCATGCCTAAAGTTGCATTGTAGGAAAGTATTGATTSACACCACCTGTTTTGGGGCGGTGTTGTGCCACGTGAGCACCAGATGCTCTGTGACTAAAGGCARATTTTAGGAAGTTCACATTCTGAGGACACCAGTGGCATGTGCATATAAATACCTGAAGCTGAGTCTCTTAAAAAGAAAAGGGTTTATKCATGGAGTTCTTGCTCCTTATTGGGAGACTGAGAAACAGTAAAACTGAATAGCTGCACATGTATAGCAGCATAATGTGTGCATGCATCTCTTTCATCTCTTCATGAAAACAGAATAGGGATATCAACTTTATTTTGAAGTTTAGGCCTACTCACTTACTGTGTTTGTTTAACCAAGCTCTGAATATTAAATTATTCATATTTTAATCTAAATTTATGTGTCTTTGTGTTTCCAGGACAGTTCTGTGATTAAAAATCAATGAATAAACTGCATGTAGAAAGCAAGAAAACTAGAAATAATGCAACTTGTGCCGAGTACTTGCTTCTTTCCCTTCCTCTCTTTTTCTGTCTTTATTTTTCTGAATTTCCTAAGTCTCAGAAACAAATGATGATCTGTTAAATGGTTTCAAGTTATGCTACCTGACCCACTGTCACTGTAAAGGGAAGATCCTTTTCCTGGTGTTCTTTGCTTGTGCAAAGCAAAGTCTGACATAATGATAACCATTTTAGTAAACTGGCTACAAATGAACAAGGCAAAACTAGTGAATTGTTTTCTGTGAGGTGAGAATCAGTTTCATTGGAAGGTCAGACTGGAAGACCATGGAGCGAGACCCTCAGAACTGTATTTTGTGTTTTTTAAAAAATATTTTGAGCAACACAGTATTTTATCTGGTGAACACTGAGTTCTATCASAAGTTAAGCAGCCTGTGTATCTTTCCAATCTTGATCAGAATCCTAAAAGCTGTATTTAATTGTGTTTAATTTTTAAATGATTACTGGAATGTGCTCTTGCAGCTGCTATTTTAGGAGGAAATTATTAAATATACAAACTATAGTATTCTTATTTAAATAATTAAAAAATCCCAAAACAACAGTAAAAAAGAGGTTTTTTGAGCTTCTGTGAACCAAGAAAAAATGGGATACATGTTCCACGATGTTCTAAATGCAGAGATACAGGCCTAACTGAAAGCTTGAGWGTGTYTTAAGACTATGAGGAGCATATTWCTTCGCACTGCATCTTCAGKCAATTCTRTATGAAAATGGTGAAACCATTAATGCCAGTAGAARGTTGTTTTTCATGTTCCAGTCTTTAGGGARGCCAATTTTATTTTTGAATGCATTTTKGAGTAATTTYCTAGCTTTAATTAGGGGCTARGWCTATCCTTGTTCCTTCTTCCTCTTTCTATCAGCTGAAAGCATGAAGGCAATGTGAATTTGGTTAAAAGGCCAGGAGCAAAATGTTTGTCGGACTGCTAAATGTTTGCCTAACATATAAGATGCTTGAGTATGTAGGAAGTAAATTATTTTACAGCTTTATGTATATTATTTATTTATTTATGTAATAAATAGGGCTTTGCAATAATACTTGTGTATTGTTTAAAAAACATAATTACTGATAAAACTGTATTTTTGGTCACACTGTCCACAACCTTACCTAAATCTGTAGTCATGGCCCATTAACCTATTTTTGTGAGGGTTCACCAGGATCATTTTTACCCCAACAATGTTAAATTGTTTGCTAGTGACATGCAAGAAAAATTAAAATGACTGTCACTACATCTGTAGAAAATTGATATGGTTAAATTACTAATGAAGAGCGATGTAGACCACATGTGAAGTATGGAATCATGTAATTATTTTATGTGTATCTCAAWAGTTAAATCCCTGTTGAAATAAAGTGTAATACTGAAAAAAATGATTCTGTTGATGAAATTGAGCTAATTGGTTTTGGAAGAGCAAATAAAAAGGAAACCCTTGCCATTCTCTCTTACTCTCCCCCTACTATTGCTGATCTGTCTGCAAAACAGTTTCTGTTTTAATAGCTCTCTGCAAAAAAACYCCACCCTGTCCTTGGCTTGGTTTGATGGAGATTTTTTTAATAAGATATCCTAGAAGAAATATAGCAGCAGTGGTTACAATTGCGTTACAATGTGTTGTACTGTTTTTATTCAAAGACACAGTGAGGTTTTGGAATCCCACGGTGGACTGGGTTCTCTTATACAAATTCTACTAAGAATACATAAAACTGTTAAATTTGAAAATGGAAACCATTATTTTGGAATTTAATTGAAAACTTAGGTCTCTGGTAGGTGAAAGGCAGGCTTTGCAGGCTTATGTGGTGACTTAGATTTATACTTAGACAARAAATAGATCATCTGGAAGGAATACTAGAGTTTTGGTACCACTGTGTGAAACTTGAATAGTTTCAGTGGGTCATGTTTGAAAACCAGGCAGATTTCAAAGTCTTAATAAGAATAAGATTATTAATGAGAATATTTTATCGATTTTTTTTTCTCATTTCCTTTACAGAAACACATTTAATTGATTTGATACAGCTACTGTGTTAAAGAAAAATGCTTTATTTACAGTCWGTTTTTTTGCTGAGATTTACATTTTTACACACAGAAATGTGCTATTGTGTATTTCCTCTCTCTTCAAAGCTACTTTCTTCTGCCTTGTTATAATTTTTATTATTTTTTTTAAAGCTGGTTTTCCTGAGTGAGTACTACATATTATATTGAGATGCAGACAAGGTAACCATAAGCCTTCTCAGCATTGCTGCCTTGGCCATTTCGTATACATYTATCAAATCACTGTTTTTTGCTAAGCTACCCCCCAAGTTTGAAATGAAAGGGTCTTTCCTRTGGCATCCAAGAAAAGTGTTTTGTTTTGTTTTCTTGGGTTTTTCAATTGAGAAGGAAGAAAGTTTTGTTTAAATGCCCATGTAATTGYGTATCAGTGTTGGCCAACAAATTAGATATTCTGTCCCATTCAGAGAAGAAAATTGCTTAAGCACATCCCTTCCCATGGAGAGGAAGGACACGAGGTGACTGCATCTTCCATTTGGATTCCGCACATCTTTGATGACCTGGGCTTGGTTCCTGACCAGCCTCTAAAAACTGCCTTGAATGCAAATTTATGTGAACTCACTGTGGATATTGGAGCACACATCCAGTTTGTGGAGAGCAGTGTCACTCAATGTGCTATGTTTTGGTGACATTCCTGTCCAGCTGCGTTTTGAGCGGTGCTCTGCATTCCGTAACATTTTAATTYCTCTCAGTCRGGGACTACTTCCATTATGTTTCATCAAGAAYATGTTATGCAAATGTGTGCAGTTTTGGGTGSCACAATATAAGATGGGTATAAMGCAATTAGGGMGTGTCCAGAGGTGTCCATGAGGATGCTGAAAGGTCGGGAGGGGAAGCTGAGTGAGGAGCAGCTGAGGTCWYTTGGTCTGTTCAGCCTGGAAGAGACTGAGCAGAGACCTCAGTRSAGCTACAACATCCTTGTGAGGGGAAGAGGAGGGGCAGGCACTGATCTCTTTCTRTGGTGACCAGGGACAGRACCCAAGGGAATGGCCTGAAGTYRTGCCAKKGGAGTTTTGGGTTGGATGTTAAGAAAAGATTCTTCACCCAGAGGGTGGCTGGGCACTGGAACAGGMTCCCCAGGGCWGTGGTCACAGCACCAAGYCTGACAGAATTCAAGAAGCATTTGGACAATGCTCTCAGGCACRTGGTRTGACTACTGAGGTGTCCTKTGCAGGTCCAGCAGTTGGACTCCATGATCCTGATGAGTCCCTTCCAACTCAGCATATTTTATTGTTCTGTAATGTGTATTTATGTAYGTGCACAATTTATGCTTTTTTATTAGGAAATATAACAGTAATATATAAGTAATGTCTTACCTCATGTTAGTAAAATAAAAAAGCCTTATCCTGAGGTATTTCAACAGTTTTAAAACGAATTGTTGATTTCAGATTGGTGAAGACCTGAAAAATGAATTGGCTTRTGATCTGTCTGTATCAACCCCTGGCTTCAGTATGTCTAAAGTAAAAGAACAAATGTACTATAAGGTAAGTAAAAATCACTGAGTCCCACAGATCTGCAATCATTCTCTCTCAGTTTAATGCAGTGTTACTAATTTTAAGTTTATATAATACTAACAGTTAATCCAAGTATCTAAAAGACAAATGAGAGTTCCTGTACTTCATGTGAGTATAAGGGTGGAGGGAGGGACTGGGAAAATGAAGGAAACTTCAAACTAGTAATAATGTCTTCTGTCCTCTTCTGCCATCCTTTACTTTTGCCTCAGAAATGATCTTAAGTTTTAATGTTTCCCGAACAAATAACTTAATTCAGCTGGCTGTCACATTGTTCAGGACGGACATATTCTCAAACATCTATTGCTGAAATTAGGTCTGTCTTATTGTATTAGTCAGATATTTGTTTTCCAAGAGAGCTAGGGGAGAAGATAAAATTTCTAATGTGGCTCACTGGTTCTTTGGAGTAAAGTTGGTTGGGTTCCAGATCTGTTTGTAAAACCCTTTGTATGTAGCTTACATGAATCAAATATTCCAAGATGTCTGAAACAGAAGGCCAACAAAAGTCCATTTTCAAATATCAAGTGAGTAAGYGATGCAAAGCTACATAATTAGGTCAATAATCATAGACACAAACTTTGAGGTAGCTTATTTTGCCTAGTTACATGACTTTCTGTAAGCAAGCAATATTTTCCCAAAAATAATGATCAGCTATTCCTAAATCAACATTTAATTTCATAATCTTTGAGTTTTGTCTGGAGACAGTATTAAAAAATAGAGAATGACTTAAAGCTTTACTGGTCCATCTTGAATCTTAGGGCTGTAACCRTTGTTGCTGCATTATTTTGCTATTCCACAATGTGGGTTTTTCTTCTTTCTCAGGTTGGACTTGCAGATGCTGTGGATTTATTTAGAGCCAGAAGAGTATTTATTAAAGATGGCTTCGCCTATGTGCCATTTAAGGAGATTGATGTGATTGTTTTGAATAACTATAGAACAAARTTGTCCAAAGCACTGGCGGTAAGTCAGATAAAGTCTGAATTTTACAATTCTTGTTGCATTGTTTGGTGACACTCTTGGACAACAGCCTTTTGAGTGTTTAAATTTATATGCTTCCATCTGGAGAATACCCTGACATTAGAAGTACTGACAGTGCAAAAAGAGTTCATTGGGGGCAGAGTGTTCAGAAGTTTCAAATGGTATTTAGCATATGATGGGCATTGCAAAGAAATTTGTGCTAGAGGATGTTAACAATTGTTTCTCACAGAGGTAGTAAAATGCCTTTTCACTTAACGTATTACCCCTCTGTACAAAACTTTTTTCTACTCATATCTATCTTTCTGCCCACAGCGTTTTGCAACAGTTTTTTTGTTAAAACAAGTAAAATAGTTGTGGGTTTTTTTCTTTGTTCTGTTAGTAAGAACTCAAGATTAGCTCATCTGGTTAGAGCATGGTGCTAATAATGCCAAGGTMATGAATTAAATCATGTGCAGGTCACCCCCTTAAGAGCTGGACTTGATGGTCCATGTGGATCCTTTTTAACTCAGAATATTCTGTGAACTAAAATTAGGATAAGTCAGAGTGTGTCAGGCAGAGGTAAAGTTTTTGTTTTATGAATATTTGAGGTATCACATCTAGTTAGGACATCTATGGTAAACACGGCATGTGAATGTCCTTCTGTTGGTAATTCAGTAATCAATTCAGGAATTGCTTGTTTTRAAAAATGAAATGCTTCACAGCATTTAAAAGTGGTGATTGTGTTTAATGCACAAAATTTTAATTCTAGAARATGCAGCATTGAGTAACATGAAGGCAGTTTGCATTGCTTTTTAAGAATGTTTTCAAAGCCTTTYATTGTTCTATCACATTAACACCAAGGTTGACTGTGAACATTTAGTAAACAAACAGTGAAAAGTAAAAGTGCAGTSCTTTACCAAATTAGAAAAATAGCACACTGGAATCTTACCAATTCTGAATACAACTGGAATCTGTGGAATTATTTCATGTACAGTGAAAATTGTGATAGTCTTGTGTGAACATTCTCATTAGAACTCTTTAATACAACTGCAGCTAGAGATATCTGTATTAAAATTGATGCATAATGGTCTTGCTGAAAGCTGATAACACTCATGTGGGATTTTAACAAAATTAATGTATTCCACAGAAATGTGGCTGAGTATGCAGGTGTTCTGCATCTATTCAAAATAATTTTGAGAAGCTTTGTGGACTTCTGGAATTTGCATCTTGTCTGAACAGTTGAGRAGTCTGAAAAGCAGTAAGAACTGCCATGAGTAGGCTCTGCCTTCTTAGTTCGAGCAGAAATCTGACAACACACACACACTGCCTTCCACATTATTCATTTAACCCGGATTACTTTCTTAAAGCCAATAGCTGCTTTRTAGTAAGGAAGTACTTTTGTGTTACACTTTATAGTCATGGTTTAGAAAATAGAACACTCATGGCCTAGGAMAACTATCTTATACAGAACTGTTGTATTTGAAGTTATTGCAGTGCTTCAGGTTTGCATTAMTCTTTTAATATATAAGCTTTGTTTATTGAAGTTCACATTTCTCTGGGTAAGGAATAAAAGGTTAGCGATTTCTGTTCTATTCCAAAGCTCCTAATTGACTTTAAGGGGTTTTGATTACCAATTTAGTTTGAGAAACTGTATTTAGTAAACTATTTAAGCTAATTTTAGTGCACTGCTGAGAGATAGGAATATCATTAATTTGAGTCTTTGGAAATGAAGGCTGAAGGTCCAGCATGTTTTACAGAGATCAGTCTAATGTTAACTCTGTTACACCAGAAGTTTAACTCAATTGTGATACTTTGTAGCTGGATACCTAGTGTAGTTTTCACTGGAACAAAATTTTAAACATCAATTACATTTCAGTAAAACTGTAAGAATACACTTCTAAAGGAAGGATTGTGTATATATAAATCCAGAAGATATTAACAATTTTTCAGCCATGTCTGGACTGAAGAGGCTGAAGTTATGACAATAGCACAATTCCAGTATTGTTTGTGAAGAATAGTTGTTGAAATACTGTTTGATCCAGGCCCAAGTTCTACAAGTACAGCTGGTTTAGCTATGGTTTTGTAGGATATGGATACKTTTTTGTGTCTGCTGCAAAGGAAAAATCAGTCAAGAGAAATGTGTTTCATTTCAGGCACTCTGGTGATAYAGAGGTCTTCATGACTTTGCAGAGGTTGTGCATCATGGTCAGACTTAATTAAGAAGTAATAAAGCCTTGAACATCATCACCTGTTTTATTATTTAATTTCTCTCTTAATGAATGTATTGGATAACATTACCACTTTGGTAAGCATTACTTGTGTGTGCTTTTGGGAGTATGTTTTTGTGGTTTTGCAGCATCTAGCTATTTATGCTTTGTTCTTTGTCTAGTGAACAATCCTTGTATTAGAATTTGAGAATTAAAGACTGTAATGGTGTGATAATCTAAATTTCGGTTTCAATGCTATTTGTAAYGAAGGGGTTTGTAAAATTAGGTAAAAAAAATTGTATCTTCTATTGGATACTTTGATTTCACCGGGTTGAAAACTTTCTGGATGGCCAGGCCCCAATTGTGATGGTGAATGGTGACACATCCAGTTGGTGTCTGGTCACCTGGGACTCCCCAGGGCTCAGTGTTTGGCCCAGTCCTATTTAACATCTTTACTGATGATCTGGATGAGGGGATCGAGTGTACTCTTAGTAAATTCATGAATAACACCAAACTGTGTTGGAGTGTGATCTGCTGGAGTGTGGGAAGGCTCTGCAGAGGGATCTGGGCAGGCTGGAGAGATAGGAGATGAGTGGAATGAGGTTCAGCAAAGCCAAGTGCTGGGTCCTGCCCTGGGGTCACAACAACCCCATACAGAGCTACAGGCTGGGGGCAGAGTGGCTGGAAAATGGCCCAGTGAAAAGGACCCGGGGGTGCTGGTTCTCAGCCAGCTGAACATGAGCCACTTGTGCCCAGGTGGCCAAAAAGGCCAGTGGCATCCTAGCCTGTGTCAGCAATAGTGTCACCAGCAGGACCAGAGAAGAGATTGTCCCACTGTACTCAGCACTGTGAGCCCACAGCTCGAGTGCTGTGTCCAGTTCTGGGCCCCTCAGTTCAAGAAGGACATTGAGGGGCAGGAGCATGGCCAGAGAAGGACAACAGAGCTGGTGAAGGGTCTAGAAGTGCCCTATGAGGAAAGGCTGAGGGAGTTGGGGTTGTTTAACCTGAAGAGATGGAAGCTCAGGTGAAACCTTATTCTTCTCAAACTTCCTAAAAGGAGATTTTAGCTGGATGAGGATCAGTCTCTGCTTCCAGGCAGTTAGTGACAGGATGAGAAGCCATAGCCTCAAGGTGCAACCGGGGGAGGTTCAGGTTCACCAGCAGGAGAAATTTKTTCACAGAASGGTGATTAGATGCTGGAATGGGCTATYRAGGGAGCTTGTGGAGTCACCRTCCCTGGAGGTGTTTAAGGAAAGACTGAAKGTGGCACTCAGTGCCATGGTCTGTTTGACAAGGTGATGTTTGGTCTTAGGTTGGGCTTGATGATCTTACAGGTCTTTTGTAACCTAACTGATTCTGTGGTTCTATGACTTTGGCCAATACTTCTGGTTTTAACAGTCTGCTGTAAACTTCTAAGGGACAAAATRCCCTGATTATAGATGGTGGAAAGATGTTTTTTCAAGCATGTAGATTCTTACAGCTCTCATTAATGATGCAGTTCTTCAATGTTAAAGCAACATCGTTTTCCAATACAGGTTGTTTGTGCAGTATTATTGGTTATTTGAACTTGATGTGTATTTTGCTTCTTGGAGTTTATTTGGTGCTGCTCCAAGCAGTCACATGCACAGGTTTTTGGAAGGAGTTATGCCTACACAGGAGTGATATTATGATGAAGACCTGTCCTGTCTTTTCCAAGGTACTCTGAAATTGTACACCTTATGGGAATGTGCTTGTGCTAAAGTTGCTCTTCCTGGGTCTCCAAAGCATGGAATAATTTGGGTGGTTGCCTAGCCTTGTGACATTGCTCACTACACTGTGGATGTATGTCATCATCCTGCAGGCTACAGAGCGATTCTAGTTGGGCTTGTAAGGGAGGAGCAGAATGAGACTGAATTGATGTGTTGACACTGAGCTTTGAGAGAATGGTAAATAATTCATAGCAGTGACTTTTAAAAAAAGTTTTATGTTGACACTGGCAGAAATTCAGTTCAGTTTGTTATGCTTTAATCACTTACTAGTCAAGCCCATGRAGCACTCAGATGTTCTCTTTCATCATTTAAAAACAAGGTTGACRTCCCAACTGTGGCTATTTCTTGAGGCTTTATAATAAGGGGAGTTGATATTAGTCAAGCCTTCTTGGCAGTTCCAAGTACAACTGAAGATGGTAATTTTATGTGCAAAATCAGTACTGCAAAGGCCTTCTTTAGGTGTTCTCTGGCCCATTTGATRGTAAATAATTTCCTTGTGCCATTAATGATGATTAAACTGTAGAAAGCTTAAACATTTTCTGTAAYGTGAGCTGTAGTGTTAGCGCTACAATTGTTTTGTAACTTAACACAATTTAAATTCATAGAAGTTTGCTTTATGTTTTATTCACGAGGGTTTCACTGTGTTTACGCTAGCATACAAAATTATGCATCTTATATTTAGGAAAGTAGCTTTGAATTTTGATTTATTTTGAAAAATATCAGAAGATTCAGCTTAGTGTCATAGGTCAGACCCACAGACCCATATCAGAGCTGCATTGTACTCAGTACTGAATAAATTGCTCCATAGAAATCTGAAGTGGGGCAAAAGGGGGAGAGGATGGAAGCAGCTGACACATGGACACAGGATGAAAAGAGGAGCCCACACTGAAGCAGATGGAGAGTTCCTGAAGGAACCACAGCCCGTGCAGAACTCGTGCTTAAGCAGTTTTGTTTTCCTGAWGGACTTCCTTTTTCCCATGGGAGAAAGCCCATGCCAGAGCAGGGGAAATCACTRGCAGGCAGGAGCTGTGGAGAGGAGCTGTTCTGG